TGAAATATGATATGTCAAGAGCTATGTAATGTTTTGAACAACTAATAATAATAAAAAAGAAAAAGAATCTAAGTAGTTCCATTTCTCTAGCTTACAAAATAGCTTTGTGACAGTACCTTTTTACATAGAGGGACAAAAATTCTCCTAAATTCTTGTTAAAAAAGGAGTTCTGTTATTAAAGTTTTCAAGTCACTATCAAGTATCATTTAACTTATAGTGTAACCATACACTACAAGGCATTATTATTAGTATAAATAGCTGTTAGGCTAAAAAATTAAACAAAATATATTTGGAAAATGATGGTGTAAACATGACTACAGGACAATATATGTGACATTGTGTGTTAACGTGTGTGACAGGATAAACCATGGCAATCTTAAAAGTATCTTCAACTCACCTTCCATTAGCCTTTTGAAATTAAGAAATACAGCATCCAGCATTCCTATTGCTCCTAGGAGGTGCCTAATACTTGGGGGTAAGTTTGGTGGCAGCTATGAAGGAAACTAAACTCTAAGCTCTGGCAAAAATTCTCATTTCTTTTATGTGGCCTAGCAGTCTTAAGAGTCTTAAAAGTATGAACTTGGAAGGATCAAACATAATTTTAGACAATGGGCATCTTTTGAATGAAGGTTCCCTGAAGGCAGATATCTCTGATAAATTGGCACTTCTTTAGTCCCACAGGACCTCTGGATACCTCAAAGGAGGAAACTCTCTAGTAATGACTGATACTGAATTGCCTACCTGCTCAATGTATGAGTTTTGGAATCAGATCAAACTGGGTTTGAACTGGTCTCCACTTATGATTAACAATGTGTCCTAGGGGAGGTAACCTGAGCCTAAGAATCTTTATCTATAAATTAATGACAGTATTCAGAGGCTTAGTGTAATAGTTGATGTACACATTAAGAATGTAAAGCACTTAGTGTAATATTCTGTTCACACGAGGCAACCAGTACATAAGAGCTACTTTAATCTCATTCAATAAATACTTATTGAGACCCCACCCCATTAGGATTGTTTCATGCCTTATATTAAGCAATATGTATATAATGGCAGAAATAAATAAATAAGAGTTATTCTCAAAGAACTTAAAGCTTAATAGATTTAAAAATCATAAAGAACGAAGTGAAGGAAAATATATTTTGAGAACCAGAGGATTACTTGGTGATCATGATGAATCATACCTTTTTGATCAAATCTAGTTGAGACACTAATGTAACAAATCAAATTTTCTTGAGTGGTTTATTACTTGAACTTTTAAAAATATTTTTTCTCCAACCATAGAATCATTAGGATAAATACACATCACCAAGTTTGCTACTCTAATATCATTGAAATGTATACACTCTGGTACCTTTTGAGACTTTTTAAAAGTAAGTTTCATTAATCATTGAAAGCCTCTTCATGAGAAGCTTGAGGAGAAAATACAGCAATACAAGTAAGTCAGTAGTGGTCCTAGAATGCCTCATGAATATGTATACTCTGTTGTATTTGTCTATACTACTGATATACATCCATAACCACTAATGAATAATATGGTTAAAGTGCCCATTACTCCATAAAAAATACTTTAATTCCTTGATCTTCCTGGTTAAATAATTTGATTCTTCAAAAAACTTGCCTTGAAAAATTCCACTGGCAAAATCTGGGACACTTTGAGCACCAAAATAATTAGTGACACTGACTGATTATAATCCATTGAATAAAATAGGAATTCATCAGTTCATACATATATAAATACATGGATAAATAATTGGAAGAGAAGGAAAAGCCCTTACAGAAGATTATTAGTAAGTAAATAGAAGAAATTGTGGGGTTATAGAAAAAATCAGTATTTGACAAACATAGTAATGATTGATTCTGGTAAGAATCATCATTGGGTATTAAATTAGTCTACAAAAATTTGATGATAAAGAAGATATACACAGGGTGTTTAAATATTGACTCATAAAAGGAAAATAGTTTATGATGTAGAAACGTGAGAGATGACACATTTTAAATAGTTAAAGTTAATATCAACAATCATTAAGGAAACTGACATCATTTAGGCATCCTAAAATTATGTACTAAAATGAAGAAACATAGCAATTAGCATTCCCATTGCTCCTAGGAGATACCTAATACTCCATAAGTAAGTTTTGGAACAGCTGTGGAGGAGACTGGACTCTAAGCACTAATGATATATTTCTGCTAAAAACGCATAACCTCAATTTAATAATGTAGAATCAACAACAAAACAAAATTGAGAAATAATCTTAAAAATACTTATCCTTTACTTATCAAAATCAGGGTCTTGAAAGAAAAAACAGACTCAAGAATTAACCATTCTTGATTAAAAGTGACTAAAGAAACTTGACAAACAAGTGCAATGTGAAATTCTAGTTTGTACCCTGGAAAAGATGTTTTGTTATAAATAAAATTATTGGGATAATCAATAAAATATGAATACAGTCTATAGATTAGAAAATAGCTTTGTACAGATGTTAATTTCCTGATTTTGATCCCTTGTAATATGGCTACATAGAAAATATGCACTGATACCTTTTGAAATAAGGTGATATGGATTCTGCAACTTTGTCTCATAATTAAAAAATAACAGTATGTAGCAAGAGAGAAAAATTAAAAATAAGTATATAGAGAAAATAATAAAACAAATTTCTTTATGTGAGCGAAGAAATCCGAGTGATGAACACACAAATTTATATTAGTTTTGCAACTTTTTTATAAATATTAAACTAATTCAAAATTAAAAAACACTTTTAGTGACTTGAAATATGAATAGAATAATAATTTTAGAAAAAGAAAAAATTTAGAAATAAAATCATATGTCAAAAACCGAAGGAAAGAAAACGTAAAAACATTGGGTATGGAAAACAATATTGAAAAGCATTAATATAAATTTGATATTTAATTACATATTTTTCCCCATTTTGTAGGAAAAAATAGGTTCAAATAATAAATTTAATTCTCCAGTAAATAGTACAATTAAGTTACGATAGCATCTGAAATATCTTCTCAAGACAATAGAATTCTATATCTCTATATATCTTAAAATAAAAAATAAGGACCGTTTATACATAGGTAACATAAAAGTATTACCACAATGTCTGGGTATTCAATTTGAGAAAATAAAAAGAGAAAAAAATGTAGATGAAATACTTGGGAAAACATGTACTTACTAGTTACATTTTTTTCCAAATTTTTCCTTTCCAAAGTATTAGAAACAGAAATAGAAGCATTTGATTTCTGACTTCAAAGAGTTACTCTTTTAAAATGATACTTTTAACCAAAATCAAGTCAAGAAAGCAAAAAAGCAAGGTTATACTGAGATTTATGACTGATCAGGTTCAATTTTTAACTTCTACCTGATAAAGCGAATAGCAACAATACTGGTGTTCTTTATTCAATTCATTTATATGTGTTAACTAAATACCTACTGAATGCCAGGCACCATGCTAAGAGAAAGCAACTATAAAGAGACATAGTCTCTGTCCTCCTGGAGATAAAGCAGAGGATGTTGGCTATTATCAGAAACTTAACATGCAATGTGAAAGCTTTTCTACCAACTTTAAGGTTGCTTTCTATATGAAATATGGTATAGTGTGTTCATGAACAAGTGTAGTAGATCTAGTTTCCTAACTTGATGAATAGGTATTATAATAGATAACTGTTTATGAACATCATGATACAAAAACTAAATGTTTGCAGAATGCCTGGTAAATAGCAGGTGTTTAGTAAATAATAGCTAGCATAAAGGCACCATGAAATCTTTTGTTACTTTCCAATAATATTAATAGCAAATACATCAGTGAAATAACCACAAATGGAGATAACTTTCTATAAAAATCCATTTGGAACAAATATTTATTGATTTTTTAAAATCTTTTTTTGTTCTTTTTAGATATACATGACAGTAGAGTGCATTTTGACATATTATATGTACATGGAATATAACTTCCCATTCTTGTAATTGTATGTGATGTGGAGTTATACTGGTCATGTATTCATATGTGAACATAGGAAAGTTATGTCTAATGCATTCTACTGTCTTTCCTATTCCCATTCCCCCTTCCTTATTTATCTTATTCGCACCTATTAATAAAATGAAGAGATTATGAAAGATGGCCTGTTGTTTGCTTTATGATTTCATGAGAATGTTTATGACTGCTAAGAACTGAGCATTAATCTAAAATGTTGTTGATCTAAAAATGAGCTATGGTAGCTACTCTCAAAGACCTCACCATCTAGAAAGTATAGACAATCATCAACAGATAAGTAAATATAAATGCATACATTGTGAAGGTTCTTTAAACAAAATTAGAATAACCAAGGTTGTTTGAGTATAAAGAAGTCAATTGACCATGGAAAAAAATAGTAAAGTCTCAGAAGAAACTCTTGTTATGGTTTGTATTTAAGGTGTTCCCCTCAAAGCTCATATGCTAAACAATGAAGGAATGTTCATAAATGACCTAATTAGTTTACAAAAGCTTTAACCTAATCGATGGATTTATCCATTTGATAGATAATAATTTGAATGTATTACTGGGTGGCAACTGTAGGCAGATAGGCTATGGCTAAAGGAAGCTGGTCACTGGGTTATGCCCTTGGGAAAATAAATTTTTTCCTGGCCCTTTATGCTTTCTCTTTCTGTTCCCAGCTTTCATGAATTAAGCAGCTTTCCTCTGCCACACCATTCTTCTATGACCCTCTGCCTCATTGTAGACCCAGAGCAAAGGAGTTGGCCAACCATAGCAGCCTGAGACTTCTAAAACTATGCATTCAAAACAAACATTTCCTCTTCTAAGTTGTTCTTGTCGCATATTTTAGTCACAGTGATAAAAAGTTGATTAACACAACTCTTTCCCCCCAAATTAAGCCCTTTGACTTTATATAAATATTTATCATCAGCAACATCCAAACTACATGTAAATAAAAAAAGTAATTTTACAGCATGTTGTATAATATAAATGCTAATATACATACATACATTTTATATTTACCTTCACAAGATGTCGATACTGTTTTTTCCCTAAGTAACTTCTCCAGCATTTTTGAATAATTGTTGCTACTCTGTGTAAATATCTAGGGAAAAATATGATTATTAGTATGCTTTCAGTGAAACAAGGATGACTCTTAGATCATTACCTATAATACACTTTCCTACAATTCAAGAGATCAAATTCAAAGCCAAGTGTATGTGTACATTTAAAGAATAGAAATTTATAGTTCTGATATGAAATTAATCTTTATAAAAATATAAAAAAGGGATAGATAATTTCATTATTTCTTTGGGGCTTCTGATTAAATAACATTTTAAAATCAATTATTCCATATTACTTATTCTTTAAAATATGTTTGAATGTTAGAATTATAAAATAGGTCATAGCGACATGTTGAAAAATAAGCCAGGCACTACTGATACACATCTTGACAAATAACTAGAAATAATGCTTGAGGTCAAGAAACAGTTTACCTCTTCATTATTTTCTTATATTCTTTAGTCTATCTAAGCCAATATCATGTTAGTCTGCCAAATAAAGAATACTCTTTGCAGTCTTATTCTAGGTTCAAGAGTGGACAAAAAAGAAGCCTTATCTTTACACTTGAAATTTGCATGCCTGACCTTTATATCTAGTATAAGGAATCATAAAGTGTGACCACAGCCTGTGATCTGAGTTATTATGAACTAGGCATATTCTTCTTCTATCTTGCCAAGAAATTTTTTTTTCATAATTAAGGGGAGACTGAGGGAATGTTTGGACACTGAAGAAAGAGTAGAAAGAATTGAGATCAGGATAAACCTCAGTCTCTTTGTATAATCAGAGTGACATATTTTGGGCATCATTTGCTTTAACCTATACATGTAAGGAGAGGATTGAAATAGTTTCTCACTACCAGCTTCTTACCTGTCAATTCATTACTATAAATATGAAATCAATCACTTATCATCATCTTTAGAATTTGGGGAAAAGTATTTGATCAAATATTTACACATATTGAAAATTATTAAAAGTAGAGACATGACTAATATAACTTAGTTTTTTGTTAAAGAAAAGGTAAAAAATACTAAATATTTCTTTTTAAAAAGATATAAAACAATTCAAATTTATTTCTATGAGTAAAATAAGGGACTATTTGAAATGAGTAATAAGTTACATTTTCTAAGGAACATATTTTAGTGTTACATCTGAAGTTTCCATAACAAAATCAACATACCTGATATATGCCCTAATTCGACATCCTCGAAACCAGCTCTGAATTTTAACAGCTGCATCATTCTCCTTTTTTCTAAATTCATCAACAACACTAAAAAAAAAAGTTTAAAAAACATTTTATTAGTAACTAAAATAATTATAATTCTAAAGCAAGTCAACATTTTAACCTTAACTTTTAATGTCTTCTAAAATGATAATTATAATCTGAATGTTATTTGAAATAAAATTAAAATACTGAATTAAAAAAGCATCTTAAAAATCATGAGTTATGTTTTAAAAATTAATCTTTCTCTGAGAAGTCATAAGCTTTCAACAGCTTTACTTTTTTATTTTTATAATCTTCTATTTTGCAACTAATTAATGTACTAGCAACTTTTATCAGGAAATAAAGCAATATGTTATTTTGTCCTTATTTTAATTACATAATTGTTTGAATTTACTGTTTAAGTGCCACTATACATGGATCATGCTAAATGAAAATGCTTGCATATTTAACTCATTCATCAGTTATATAAATTGCTTCTAAGTAAAGTGAATCAATCAAAAGTGCCTATTATAGCTAGAATTCTTAGAAAGTTCATTTAAGTTAAAGAAGGCAGGGGGTAAGGCAATGGGCTTATAAAGAGATAAGAAACTCAATTCTTAGATTTATAGCAAGACAAGGTTTATTCAAACAGTTCTTGTTCTTAATTTTATGTCTTTGGTATTATCCTTTTCCATCCCAGTTAATAAAATGATATTGTTTAGGTCAACTACAGTAGAGCCTAAAGTAATTATCTCCCAGAATACTGACTGATACACATTTAGCACTTTATGTTTGCTGAATGAATAAATAATAGATAGTTATTTATTTCTTATTTAACATTTGAAAATTTTTCTTGTTTATGTTTAAAAGTTCCCTTAGAATTGTTGTCTTGAAAAGGTTATTTTTAGTTTTCATTATGTTAGATAAAACATATATTTTTTATAAAAATGTAAAACACATATTTAGAACAAAAACAGAGTGGATAAAATACCTCAAACAATAAAATTCTTGAATACTATAGGGTTAACTGAGAGAGGAGATGAGCAGTTAACATGCCAATAGCAAATAGTTAGAGAAAACAAGTAAATGGATTATGGTATTAGATAAGGAAGAACAAGAGTTATCTAGCAAGCCTGAGAAGGAGTATAACACTTGTGTATCAAAGCCAATGATCCAGATATAAACTACAGTATAGAGAGAATTATAAAATTAGTTAATTACATAAGGTGCGATTAAGTGTAGTGTAAAATATAAAAGACACATCTGAGAATATACTTTCTGTTACCCGACAATTAGTGGAACAGACCATGATAAGATTACTACATTAATAAAGTTTGCTGAAAATAATTATGAGATGTTAGACCACTCTGGACAATTAGGATTGAAAGAAAAGAAAGATATTGTTTTATGTTCGTATTGCCTATGCTAGATGTTAAAAGAGATCTGTATTTAAATTGTATTCTTGGCTCATATTATTGTGGAGGAAAAACAATTTAAATTCCTTTCCTCCACACTCCCCCTCCCCACTTCCCAAATTGGCTAGGGCTTTCTATTTTATCCTCTTACAGCTCTTCATTGTATTTGATACATTTATATTTAAGAATTGTTTAATGGATCTCTTCCACTAAACTTTAAAATCCAAAAGACAGTAATCTTATCTATTTTTTCCACATTGTATTTGCAATGGTTTCAAGAAATAATTGGTGCTACTACTAACACTCAACATTTGTCTTTACCAAAGGTGATTTCACTGAGGGAACAACATTCCTATTGGTAGATTTCTTTCCTGTGAGACATGGCTCTCACAACCTTCCCTCAACAGAACTACTCAAAAGATTGAAATTCTTCCTATTTCAGGATGACAAAGTTGCTGGAGGGCCAATGGGTACCCTATTGCTCTTAATAACTTGGGTGATTATAGGTAAAAGAAAGACATGTGAGGAACTGTTGATAGAAATAGAGAAAAAATACATTTTACTAATGAGTACTTTATGCATCAGTGAATTATCTCATATATAATTTTTTCAACACTATTACATAGATAGTTATAATCCAATCCTCCTTTAATAAGGAAGACTATTCCCATATATATGAATAAATGGGAATATTCTTATATTATAATACTGCAGAAAGAGCGTAGTGATATGCCAAGGTTTACATCTTTAGTTTCAGAGCTGAGATTTGATTCTACATTGTCTGGCTTCAGAAACTAGGTTCTTAATTTTCATGACTTCTGAAGGAGAAAAAAGGAAGGAAGGATTTTTTTAAAGTAAAACAGATGGAAATTAAGAGAGAGAGAAAAAGAAAGGCAAAGACAAAAGAAAGAATGCATGCAATCCATTTATAAATAAGATTTTGAAACTTTGCTCTAGCACCAGTTTCCCAAAGCAACAAAATAAACCTAGAGACTAAGGAGGTGAAATGCAAATAACATCAATAGCAAAGACCAAAAATTTCTCTGGCTATGTACATTACGTGTAGGTAACAACAAAGACTCAAATACATGGCCAGCAGAAAACAATTTGGTCTTTGAACACATACAGAATAGTTTCATTTACATATAGGAAAAACTTGTGAAATTTTAGGAATGTTCATTAGGGATGCATAGCATATAGTAAAACTATAATAGGAATGACAAAACACAAATTTCAGGACGGAGATGGAGGACAGGGAAGAGGGATAGGATGTGAAAGGCAGACACAAAATGCTTCAAATGCCTTGGCAGAATCAGATTTATTAAAGCTGACTGACTTTTCAAAACTGTTCTTTATATGATCTTCATGTATGTAAACACCCTTGTGCATATTGAAATATTCTACATTTTTTTTAAAGATGGTGAAATTGAATTTGGGGTAACTTCAGCATACTGTCAATTAAAGAGTAAATTCCCCAAATCTGTCAGGTCTTATGTATATAAGCTGGGAATCCCATGAGGAAAAAATTAAAGCTTTATGCTATAGTCATATTATTTGGGGAAACAAATGAAATAAAATGACTCAATTAAGCAGCGTACCCAAAATGCAGCAAAAGATAGACAATTAACAGAAAATAAAATATAAACAACTTATAATAGAAATTGTATGAAAACATGCTAAACACACTAAAGCATGACTTAGCAATTATTTCCCTGGAAATTTGTTTTATATCATATCTTTATTTGTAATATTAAAATAATAGTAACAACCTAAAGAATGGAATAAATTTTTTCCTTACAAAAAATAAATAGATCAACGTCTGAAGGACAGATAAAGTAGTATAATGTGAAAAAAAAATAAGGTATAGTATTTTATATTCTTAAATTTATACAGAGCAATCTGAACTGTACATATAAGTCAATGTACACAGAGAAAAAGTCTGATTTTGTACAGAGAAAATTATTAAAAGTGGTCATCTTTAGGAAATTAAATGTGAAAGAAGAAATTTAATTTATTAATTTCTGAATTCATTAATCATTATAAAATATCATGTAATATTTTTATTTTTCTTCCAATTTTTTTATGTTTTCCATTTTTTATTGATTTTTAAAAAAATAAATGACAGTGGAATGCATTACAATTCTTATTACACGTATATAGCACAATCTCTGGTTGTATAAGTATGTTGACATCAATTCATATCTTCATGCATGTACTTTGGATAATGATGTCTATCACATTCCACCATCCTTGTTAACCCCCAGCCCCCTCCCTTTCCTTCCCATCCCTCTGCCTTATCTAGAGTTCATCTATTCCTCTCATGCTCCCCCTCTCCCTACTCCACTATGAATCAGCCTCCTTATATCAGAGAAAACATTGGGCATTTGTTTTTTGGGGATTCGCTAATTCACTTAGCATTATCTTCTCCAACACCATCCATTTGCCTGCAAATGCCATGATTTTATTCTTTTATTGATGAGTAAAATTCCATTGTGTATATATGCCACATTTTTCTTATCCATTCATCAACTGAGGGACATCTAGGTAGACTCCACAGTTTAGCTATTGCGAATTGCACTGCTATAAACTTTGATGTGGCTGTGTCCCTGTAGTATGCTGATTTTAAGAATGAAATAAAAAATGAAACTAACTAATGTAATCTTTTAGAAAACTAGGAATGAATTTTCAAACTTAAGGGAAGTATTAGATTCATCTAGGCACTAAACATTAAGGAATTGGGACATTTGATATAATATGAACCATGGCCTAGCCTAGTAAAAATTGTAGGATAAAAGATAGCACATTAGCTTTGTAGAAAGACCTTAGTTCAAATCCTAACTGTGCAACTCTTATATGGATAAATTTGCTCATTGTTTTAATCTAAAATTTAATTTGGTGGCATATCATAAAGAACCTAGTAGAAAAACTATTGAATGATACATACCAAATAAAAGATGATTATTGTTGCATTATTACATAATGATGGGTATCTGATGGGCATTTTTCTATGGATTGTAGAAAAATACTATTTGTCAATATCTTATTCATTAATTTAAAAAGATTGGTTATATATTATATATAAATTGTGTGCAAGTAAGCATGCTGCTCAAACTAAAGACATACATGACATACATTCTGTGCTCTCAAGTCTAAGCTTACAAACTAATATACTAGAAAAATAATTGTACCAGTAAATGAAAACACATAAAAAGTAAAATAGTGTATAAGAAATAAATATCTATAGAATTTAGAACTATAAAAATATTGTTTTTAGTAAACAGTAGAGAAAAAAAGGAAATCAAAGGAAACATTTTCTATTCTCAAAGAAATATAGAAAATAAGCAATCAAGTTCATATTATTTTGGATTTGTTTTTAAATTTCTCCTGGTGATCCTAGTCAAATGGAAAATTAAACAATCCCTTTTTGGAATATCAATAATAATGTATATAAATACAAACATATATTATCCTAATAAGGACATCACTGTTACCACAAATAAAAGGAAAGAAACATGAAAAAATTAACCAGTAGGGGCTGGGGATGTGGCTCAAGTGGTAGCGCACTTGCCTGGCATGCGTGCGGCCAGGGTTCGAGCCTCAGCACCACATACAAAGATGTTGTGTCTGCCGAAAACTAAAAAATAAATATTA